AAGCAAAAAATACATTATATACGTAAACTGCAAGAATTAAAAGCAAAGTGCAAACAGTACAATACTAACAACAAAAAATAAATATATAACAACAAAGTGTAAGAAAAAGTAGCAAACATTAACAAAGTTTTCGTCTCAAGATAATCAGATTTAGTCGATGTCCTTGAGCCTCTAGATACGGAACTGCTCTGGCGATGAAAGAAGGAATGAATTTAGCGGCGGAGAACGAGCGAGACATTTTGTACTCGTTTAGGTTTGCACGAAAAAAAAAACTAAATGAAATCTTCTCCTGATGAGCAAATAAAGAGAAAATATGTGAATCGGGCTCAATCACATTTTGTATGGTCATCTTCTTCTTCAATCTTGCACCATCAACCCTAAAAAAATAACAAAATTTAATTTAATGCCTGTCAAATTGAATCAAAAGTCTGAGTTCGAATTTCAATCTCGAAATCTAAACGAGAGATTTTACGAAACAAAATAAGACTGTTGTCAAAGATGAACCAACCACGTTTCATAAACTCACTTCCAGGATGAGTTTTTTTTTTCAACCACGTTCATAACTCCCTTCCAAATCTTATGACGTGATATATGGGATTTATTCTGACAATTTACGTAATTAAATACTTCCATAAATAAATAATTTATTGTTTAAGGGTGTTTATGTTCATATGCATATTGATTTTATTTGATTTAATTGATTTTTTTAGTCAAAGGGCCTGTAATTATATTAATCTAATAGATTGAACTCCTACCTATATAAGTTTGAAATAAGGGGTATAGCTAATTATCCATATATATATATATATATATATATATATATATATATATATATATATATATATATATATATATATATATATATATATGGAATCAATTTCATTTTTTCCTTTTCCAAATCATTCTTTGACCATTGTTTTTCATTGAACTTATCATCAGCTTTCGCGATAGGTGCATTAATGGCTAAACAAAATTGTATATTAAATCCTTCAAGAACTCGATTGATATAACATTCATAGATGATTGCAGTAAATATTGCTATGAAGCCTTTGAGATGTTTAAGACATACAGGGCAAAAGTTGAAAACCAGCTTGATAAGAAAATAAAAACACTAAGATAAGAAAATAAAAACACTAAGATAAGACAGGAGTGGTGAATACGAGTACACTTTATTTTCTGATTTTTGTGCTCAACATGGAATTATACATGAAACAACAGCTCCATATACACCACAAAAGAATAGTGTTACCGAACAGAAAAATCGAACATTTAAAAATATGATAAATTCCATGCTTAATAGCTCGGGCTTCCACACAGATTTATGAGGTGAAGCTTTACTTATTGCGAATCATATATTGAATAAAGTTCCACATAAGAAGACCAATAAATATCTTTATGAAATATGGAAAGGACGAAAACCATCGTACAAAACTCTTAAAGTGTGGGGTTGCCTAGCAAAAGTTCGAGTTCCATTACCAAAATGGGCTAAACTTTCACCGAAAACAATTGATCGAGTATTCTTAGGATTCGCTCTTAATAGTGCAGCATATAGATTCTTGGTTATTAAATCTGAAATTTCAGATATTCATTGGAATACCATTATTGAATCTGTTGAAGCTGAATTTTTTTGAAGGAATTTTCCTTATAAAGAAAACAATGACAACTAGTCTGTCTCGAATAGAAAGATAATTCCAGATAATGAATCTTCTTCTTTTCGTGTTCAAGATAATGACTTGGACCAAGAATAGGGAAAAACAAATTAAACTTCCGAAAAACTTTGGGCCGGAATTTGTTACATGCTTCATCGAAACAGAACCCGAAAGCTATAAGGAAGCTATGGCTTCACCCGAAGCCCATTTATGGAAGGAAGCTATAAATAGTGAGATTGAGTCCATCTTACAGAACCTCACTTGGCAATTGGTGGATGTACCACCTGGAAACAAACCAATGGGTTATAAATGGATATTCAAAAGAAAGCTAAAGGCCGATGGAACCATAGATAAATTCAAAGCTCGTTTGGTAGCCAAAAGGTATCGGCAAAATGAAGGCTTGGATTATTTTGATACTTATTCTCTGTTATCAAGAACAACATCAATTAGGATGTTAATTGCGATATCAGCATTACATAATGATATGATCCTAAATACATCAAACACGAAGAATTGGATGACAAGGAAGAGGGAAATTCATTGGACAAGTCGAATTTCATGCATCCCGAAAAGTCCCGTATAATTCTGGCAGAGTACACTATTTGGCTTATTACTTTCTCATCTGAAGTCCAATTCCGGTGATTCAAATTGATACGGAAAACCAACTTAAAAATCTAAAACTTTTCTGTTTTGATCCGAGAGAGATTCGGCGTGGAAAAGGTCAGAAATCGAGCTTGAAGTCAAGACACGTGCACAACCAAATGTCTACTCGAGTTATGAAGAATGTTCGTGTCGTCGACTTGATATTTGGAGTTTAGATTTTATTAAATTACGTTTTTATATTAGGTTTAATATATTTATATTATTTTAGAGTTAGTTATGGCTAGGATTTTCTTATTTATTAGTTTTCTTATTATAGATTAGGTAAGAGTCATTTTCCTTGTGAAAAAGGAGTCTATTTAGATCTTATAAATATGTAGCCAATTTGGCTGATTTAATAGACGAATTTTGATGATTTAATTGAGAATATTCTCGTTTGGTTCTTTATGAACCGTTCGAACATTACGGTGGATTCCGTTTGTTCACCCCGACTTATCAATCGATCTTCCGCAATCGATTGTGGCGTCTTCGCATACCAAGGTTCTTGCCTCTTTATAGGCAATGGGTTGCGGTTCCACCCCATTGAATCCTTCTTTGGACGGTCCAGGGTTTGACATCCGAAGTATTGTTATCGGGTCTCGTCACATTGTTGGCGTGGTTCGTATCACATAATACGGACATTCATCAAATGGATGTTAAAACATCATTTTTAAATGGAGAATTAGATGAGGAAATATATATGGGGCAACCCGAAGAATTTACGGTTCATGGTTAAGAAAATAGGGTCTGTAAACTTGTCAAATTTTTATATGGGTTTAAACAAGCTCCAAACCAATGGCATGAAAAATTTGATCATACAATAATAACACATATGATTCAAAATAAATGATTGTGATAACTGTGTATACATTAAGAACACTAAAAACTCTTGTGTGATTGTACGTTTATATGTAGACGACATGCTTATTAGGGGAACGAGCAAAGATGTAATAAATTCCAAAATGTGAATTTTGTTGAATTCAAATTTTGACATGAAAGATCTAGGTCAAGCCGATGTCATTTTAGGAATTAAAATAAAGAGAAATAATGACGGGTATATTCTTACTCAATCTCATTATGCAAAAAAAGTTGTAAGAAAATTTGGGCGATTTGAGTGTAAACCTGTTGTTACTCCTTTTGATGCAAATTGAAAATTAAGAAAAAATAGTGGGAATGCAATCTCACAGTTAGAAAATTCCCGGGCCATTAGAAGTTTAATGTATTTAATGAATTCTACAAGGCCAAACTTGGCTTATTCAGTAAGCAGGCTTAGTATATACACATGTAATCATGGACATGATCACTGGCAAGCATTAGTCAGAGTATTCAAATATATCAAATATACCATGGACTATGGTTTGGATTTTACAAAATATCCACTAGTTATTGAAGGTTATAGTGATGCTAACTGGATTTTCGATAGTACTAAAACTAAGTCGACAAGTGGATATGTTTTTACATTGGATGATGCAACAGTCTCATGGAAGTCATGCAAATAAACGTGTATAGCACGCTCAACAATGGAATCCGAATTTATAGCCTTAGATAAAGCGACTGAAGAGGCCGAATGGTTTAGAATTTTTCACGAAGATATTCCATTATGGTCAAAACTAGTAACTACAATATGTATATATTGTCATAGTATGGTTGCTCAAGTACGAGCCAAAAATAATATATACAATGAGAATTCTCAGCACATAAGACGAAGATATAACAAAATTAAACAAATGTTCTCCAATGGAATTATAATCATTGATTATGTAAAGTCTAAGGAAAATATAAATGATCCTTTGACGAAAGGCTTACCAAGAGAGCAAATAAAGTTTACATCAAGAGGAATGGGCTTATGCATTGGAATTATATCCAAGAACCTCTTATTTATATTATCTTTCAAAGAATAAAAATTAAAGAACTTACAATTCATATCGATTTACAATTTAACAAGCATGGCCCTCCTCTCGACTCAACAAAATTGAAATCTACAAATATAAAGGTCGTTTGACAAATTTGCTGTCAAGCAACAACAACAACTTCAATGGCTGATCCAGATTACTAATACGAGGTACAACAATCACGAAAGTAGAAAAAAAAAAAAAAAATAGGAGTTTCGTTTTTTGTAGAACGAAACCCCTAAAAAAATCGAAAAGGGAGGGGTTTCGTCCTACAATAAACGAAACCTCAAAAACATTAGAGGTTTAGTCCTCCACATAACGAAAATCTGAAAATATTTGAAGGTTTAGTACTCTAGACCACGAAACCCTAATTCTTTTTTAAGGTTTCGTGCTCTACAACACAAAACCCTCCAAAATTTTCTAGGTTTCGTGCTCTAGAGCACTACACCTTCAAAAAAAAATCCAAGTTTCGTGCTCTAGAACATGAAACAACCAATTTTTTTCTTTTCAAAAAATCACTATATCTAATCCGAAACACATATTTTTACAAAATTATAAATGAAATTGGTTGAAAGTACTAAGATTAGAAAAATAAAAAATACCATAATCGAGAGTAGTACGCTACAAATTGGAAGCCGAGATTTTTTTGAAGTTTGAATGTGTTAAGGAAGTTTGGGGAGTGAGAGAGAATTTAAAAAGAAAATCAAATGAAAGAGATTCCGCTGCATTCAGTAAAACTCCAGCTGCAAATAGCAAAGACCTTTTTTATACGGTTTATTGAGTGCGAATTGTTTTTTATTTTATTTTTTTTAATATAATTGATAAGCAATATGAAGTGCAAGTAATATATTTATTATCTGGCAAGTGAGAAACACGCAGCAGAAAATGGCCACAACTGGGCGCTTCCTCTGTCCGAACGCAAGCACCAAGTTCCGACTTGTTTTTCCGGCGAAATATTCTCAGCCATTAATTACACCTTGTAATTTCTTGTTTCTGAGAACCCATTTTGTGAACAAGAAACATAATACCCACCACATACTTCTTTGTAGCAACACTCCTTTTGTATCCACTGGTTCAACCCATTATGAGGTAATATTAATTACTGCTTCTAAAAATTGATTCTTGATTTATTTGATTTAAGAATTGATGATAGCTAAATAAAAGAATGCAGTTTAATGATGATTCGAGTGAAGTAGAGTTGAGATTGGAACTTGGAGATGAAAGCAGCACAATCACTCCTGCACAGATATTTGTTGATGGTACTGAAAACTCTTTGGTTATTAAGCTCAAGCTTCCACATCAGCATTCTTCCGGCTATCTCAAGACTCTCTTTCAGACCAACACTCTCTATGGCTTCATTAAACCTTCCGAAACAATATGGTAATATGGTGTGTGTAGTGTATATATATATATATATTTCAGATAATTGGTTGAATAAATAATTAATTACAAAAAAAAACAACAAAAAACAGGTATATAGATGATGCTCAATTGGTAGTGAACTTGAAGAAGCAAGACTCAGAACTAAAATGGCCAGACATAATGGAATCTTGGGAGTCATTAACAACTGGATCCATCCAATTATTCAAGGGAACTTCTATCTTTTTAGTTGGTGATTCTACTGATATCAACCATAAAATTGCTCGAGAGTTGGCCGTCGGTCTTGGGTGCGTATTATATATTGCGCTCACCTTTTTTTCTTTTTTGGACTAATTAAAGAAAAGAAGTATGGTCGGTAGACGTAAATTTAACTCCTTAAGTAATGTATAATGTATATATATTTCCTTAATTCTCTGTCTAAATAGTTTTCATATTTACTCAATCCTGATTATAGTTTGAGCTAAGAGTCTTGTTTCTCAGAATTAAGAGATAGATTGATTGGGGTGATTTGGTTATGTTGATAAAGAGTTTTGTGTTTGTATATTGGTTTGATAGATATACTCCACTGAGCACAAAGGAGCTTCTGGAAGCATACTCCAAGCAATCCATTGATTCATGTGAGTTTTCAACTGTTCTTCCTATCCACTACCTACTCTCTTTTATCTCTCTTCACACACTAAATAGTAAATAGATGCAGTTTATGTTCATCAAATTAATTTTCTCATTTATTAAAATGGGGACTGTGCAGGGGTGGGGGAAGAAGGATCTGATGCTGTGGCAGAAGCAGAGTGTGCTATATTAGAAAGCCTTAGCAGGTAATTTTATTAATTAATTAACAAATGATTTTGAAATTGGGAGTTGTAGTAAGTAGTATGTAATTGAATGACGAAATGCAGTCAAGCGAGAACAGTAGTTGCAACATTAGGAGGTAGTCACGGTGCAGCCACAAGGCCCGATAAATGGAGACATCTTTATGCCGGATTTACAGTTTGGCTCTCACAGTCACAAGCCACAGGTCACACCCACACATACAAATATCAATATCAATATCAATATCAATATCAATATCAATATCAGTATATCAATATGAATATGAATGAAGGAAAACAAATATATATGTATGTATGTGTGTCAGATGAAGAGTCGGCAAAAGAAGAGGCGATTGCGGAGAAAATGAAAATAAAAGGGTACAGCAATGCAGAGGTAGTAGTGAAAGTAAGTGGTTGGGATCCCACATACTCCAAAACTGTGGCACAGGCTTCCCTCAGCGCTCTTAAACGCTTGCTTCTCTCCAATAAAAATCTCCCAGGTAGTACATTATATAATAGATGATGATTGAATAGTGGATAAGTATATGATAATAATTTGTTTGTTTGTAGGTAAAAAGAGTTTGTATATAAGACTGGGAAGCAGAGGTGATTGGCCAGATATCAAACCTCCTGCATGGGATCCTTCTTCTTCATCATCATCCGCCACCAACACTCTTGCATTATGATCATACCAATCCACACTCCTATTTTTTGCAAGTTTCTAATTTTGTCCAGGCGAGGAAATCGGTGCTTTCTTTAAACATTCATTTCATTCAATATATTTTTTTTCTTAACATTTTTTTGCAAATGCCATAACTAAGTTTCCCACTATACTACCCAGGTTGGTCTATTTTGATTTAAAATAATTTAGTTGGGGCGGGGTTCGAAGGAATTTCCTTTCGTTTTCAGAAGATTAGTCGCCGTCATAGTTTTTGTTATGAATCCAAATGTGATTACAGTTGATACTGTCTTGTTTGAAAACAAATTCATTTCTGCCCTATTATAAGCCATAAAACAGACGTTAATCGTTTTGAAAAATCGTTTGATTTTTAAAGCAGTCGATTATCCAACAAAAAAGTATCACTGAATTGGAAACAAGAGAGTGAAGTTTTTGAATATTTTGCTGAAAACACAAACCAGATTTGAAAATATGATCACAAATGTCCGGGTCCAGCCTATAAATACAGCAAAAGTTGGAGGGCAAACGTTTTCTCTTGAACGAAAAGACGGCTGGCTGTAGGTGCCATGATCGAATCGAAGCACGTGTTTTGATTTCAAGAAAGAGCATGATCCTGTATTGCATGTCTGTAATCTGCAAATCTCTCTATTGTTCTGAGATGATAAAGATCAATTAATATTCCCCCTCGAGTGGATGTATGTTGAATTGATAGCCGAGCAACTTAAAAATTGTGTTCACCATCCTCCTCTTTATTCCTCTTAGTTTTCATGCACGTTATTGTTTGTAGACTCAGCTTGTTACTGTGAGTTCTTAGATCGACTGTGCTTTTATGTTCGATTGAGCTCATTCACAACAACTTTAGTTAATCGAAAAACAAGGATATTTATAAGGCACATAACAAGAAAGAAACATGGGGATGAAGGATCCGTGTGTTGTACTGTACCTCTCAGGGGCTTCAGTTATGTTATATTTATGAAGGGCAAATTCAATAAACTCTATTTCTAACTTGTCAAGATTCTTTTAAGTTATTTAAGATTCTTTAGATTTCTTATGGAAAGTAAAGCATTCCAAAGAATCTATATTTTCAGTGTCAATTTCCGCAAAGTAAGAGCCGTAAATATGTTTTTTCAAATGGTTAGCCATAATAGAGCCAAGATTAAAAATTGAAATACGTATAAGAGCACTCCTCAAAATGCATAACATTTGTTTATTCACATATTTGACAGGTAAATGCTTAAGCTTCAATACGGAAACACAAGCATAAGAAAATGGATGTAGTAGTTATAATCAAAAGTTGTGAGTTACTATAGCCAAACTAAGAATAAAAAAGTTTGATCATGCCTTAATCGATGAGGCGGCCTCCTTGATCTGGTCAATAGTGAAAACACCAAAGAAATCATCATCTGTGACTGCGTTTATAGCAGCAAATGCAAGGTCGTTTACGCTGAGCGGTGGTGCCAAAACTAAATCAGACGCAGGCAGTGTGTTTAGCGGTTTGGTGAAATTCTGCACTGCACTCAGAAATTTCTCAAGAGGTTCTCCTATCAACTCAAGCGGGATTTCGTATCCATCAATCTTTCTCTTCCCGTATATGAATCCAGGCCTCAACACAACACCTGAATTTTGGATTATCAATTTCCAATCATGAAATTCAAAAAATGCATTATGCAATTTAATAATTAGATAATTCATCATCCACCTGAATTTGGATATTTTGAAAGAAGTTCAGCCTCGGCTTTCCTTTTTCCAGTGAAATACCCAGTTGATAGCATGAACGACGGCAGATTGTAATCATGAACTGAGATCAATATGAACTTTGGAATGCCTAAAAAAAAATATATATCAAAATCAACGACAATATTATCGCTTGTTGATAAAGAAGGAAATGAAAAAGTGGTAGTAGCTCACCATATTCCTTAGCAGAATGAATAGCGACAACGTTGGCCTCCCCGTTTATCCTTTGCATTTGTTCCTCACTGCCAAAACCTCCAATTGTGGAAACAACTGCAGTAGCCCCAACAAGAACTTCATCCCAATTTGCATAAAAAACATCTCCTGCATTATTCAATAAATTAAAAAATATTTGATTATTAAAGAAGAATGTATGATGTTTAAAGTAAAAAGGTTGTGGGTCTCCAAAAGAACCTGCCTGTGACCCAATTGACCTGATCTACCCATGGCTCTGAATATGACGGCCTCCCCGACCTGAAAACAACTTCAGAATCAATTATTAATCACACAGAGAGAGAGAGAGAGAGAGAGAGAGAGAGAGAGAGAGAGAGAGAGAGAGAGAGAGAGAGAGAGAGAGAGAGAGAGTTATTCAGTTTTGTTTATGAATGAATTGCACCTGCTGAGACTGATGACCTCTATACCCTTTGATACAGCAGCCTTGCATATAGCAGAACCCACAAATCCACTGCCTCCTAATACTACAATCTGCTAATAAATAAAACAGTTTGGCAAAGTTATTTTTAATATGAAATAAAGCAATAAATTAATATGAAGAAAGATAATACGTACTCGCTCAGCCTTAACATCAGCCACAACATCAATTGTGCCAACACGTGAATCGTCTTTAACACCAGAACCAGCAGCGTAACTGCACTTGAAACCACCCCTCTTTGATCTACAAAAACATAAATCCAAATAAACAAGTATCTTCCTCGTACTCAATTAGCCCAACAAAATCAACAACTGATTGCAGAATTTGTGTAATTGAAGAATGCTAACAAAACCAGTTTCAATATTAATTTATTCAAACATCGTGAATTGAACTCATACTCATAGAGTTGAATCCAAGCAAACAAAATTAATAAAAATTGGGGGAAATCTGATAAAATAAAAATGAAAAAAAGAACCAACCGAGAAGAAGAAGAGAAATTGAGAAAATAATGTGGATTCCCAGAAACGGAGGCAAAGAGGGGTGTGCTGCTAGATTGAGAAGAGGTTACAGAAATGGAGGAGGTGATGCAACTAAGTGACGTCATCCCCCTTTACAAATCCTTGAACTGACTGTGTTTGTGTTGTGTGAGCCAGAAATCACCAGATTTTCAGAAGAATCCACATCACACGGATTTTTTTAGCTATCAATATTCAACACTGATTTTCCTTTTATTTTCCTTTTTCCTTTTTAAAGTAAAGTTTTGGTTTTTCTGAACCAAGCATATTAATGTGTTGTGGTCTAATTGCGGTCATGTTTATTAGTACTATCTTTTTATGCTCTACCAAAGCTTCACTAAACATTTTAACTAAATTAATTGTGAGGCCCATTTAGAAAATGCACATACATCTTTTTTCCGCTCTCTTCTAATAAGTGAATATGCAAGGGTATTTCTTCTACCCATAAACTGATCGTACCATACTTAATAGATGATCCATACATACAAAATGCTATACTGAAATTTCGTGACGATAGTTGGTAATTTTTTTCTAAAACTTGATAACCCAAACTCAATCGTCCGGCTTAAATGTAAGACGCTTAGGCGCTTTATTTAGCTCGATTCACAACTTTCTCGTTCACCTTTAGATTGGGCTCGCAATCGGGCAACCAGATGCTTCGACCTGCATTAAATGTCGGGCCACTCGTTGAAGATAAAAGTACATCAAACCCGTATGAAGTTTTACCATGAGCCAATTGTATCCATTGAGCAAATATGAGTTCTATTAAAATTTGTTTTTCCAGAGTCCCAAAGGCCAAAAGCAAGCATGCATGACATCATTATGAACATAAAGTCCCAAGGTATGGAATTACATAAATAGGCTGGCCCAACTAAAATGAGATATGATAGCTTCCTTATGGTCTAATATCCTTGCCAATACATTATCTTCATTTTGCTCCAGGTTGTAATCCATAATGAAAAATATAGCTCCATGACCAAAAGCTCCTGTCATGATGACTCCTGCGCTGCTTCTTTCTGAATTTTTTTCACTAACTCGGCCTTATGTTTTCCTTGAGATAAATCCAAAGTTATGCTACAATTTCAACATACAAAATACTTGAACGGATTTCATGTGAGGTATTAAGAAAATCCAACTTTTTATCAAATCATTACGACATTCTGAATTAGAAATATCAGTTTTCTATGTTGAAGTTTTAGGAGTGACCCATCAACAAACTTAAGCGTATTTTTTGCACGAATTGCCATGGTGACTGCACGACTATGTGATCCATAATTGTCTCATGTCAAAAAAGGTATAACAAGAACAATAGAAAAACTGTCGGATTGATAAATATTATAAACTTCTATTCACGGATTTGTGGGAAGAAGGCTTTCACAAGACTTGGTGAAGAAAGAGATTTTTTTTCCTACTGGTACCATATAAGAACAATATGGAGGAAAAGGAAAAATTGATTTTCATTCATCTGATTTGAGACATATATATACACAAAATTAAATTGCCATATGGATTGAATTAATAACTCGCATAATGAGATAATAAATAAAAAGATTGGAAAATATTCTAGTAAATCCTAAACCAAAAGCATAACCAATAGGGGGTTTTACAAATAATCTCATCAATGGGTACTTATTCATAAAGAGATACAGACAAAAAAATTCTTTACCAATAAGTCCACACATGGTCCAGATTTTTGTAAAGGACTAAAATAACCCCTCATACTTTAATATGCTCCAATTTCATTCTTAACTTAATATAACTTATTTGACCCCAAATTTCACAAATTATTCAATTTTTCAAAAAAAAAAAAAAAATCCGCCGGATTCCGGCGTTGACTTTTCAATTTTTTTTTTCTTCCGAATTTTTTCGCCGGATTCCGGCGTTGACCGGCGGTCAATGTCGGTCTCCGGCGTTGACTTTTCTTTTTCTTCTTTTCTTTCTTTTTGTAACTTTTTTTTTTCCGTTTAAACAGCAATATTGTTGTGATTGACAGTAATATTAACTATATTACTGTTAAACACAGTAAAATTAACTAAACTATAGTTTAACACAGTAATATTGCTATATTAATCGCTAGCACAGTAATATTAACACAACAAAACTCATTATTATTGTGTAATAGAGTAATATTAATATGTTGACCGTTCAACAAATGTAAACATAATAAAAAGCCAAAAAAATTAATATTACTGTGAGTGACAGTAATATTACTATAACAACAGTAATATTACCGTCAACCACAGTAATATTACAATAATAGACAGTAATATTATTACGTTACTCCGTGAATAACTCAAACAAACAAAAAATTCCAAACAAAATAATAATATTGATGTGGTTGACAACAATATTACTATAACAACAGTAATATTACCGTCAACCACAGTAATATTATTGTGTCTACAGTAATATTACTAAAATAGACAGTAATATTATTACGTTATTCCGTGAATAACTCAAACAAAACAAAAAAACCCAAAAAAATAATATGTTGACAGTAATATTATTGTGTTTACAGTTATTTTACTGTCAACGACAGTAATATAATTACGTTGACTTGTCAACAAATAAAAAAAATAACAAAAATAAAAAATAATAATATTACGTTAATTTACTGTCAACGACAGAACAATTACATAAATGTATTGTCAACGGCAGTACAATTACGTTAATTAACTGTCATTGACAGTATAATTACCTTAATTTACTGTCAGTGACAGCACAATTACGGTCAACGTTAAGCGGCGTAAAAAAAAAAAAAAAAAAAAAAAAAAAACTTAAAAAAACACTAAAAAAAGTCAACGCCGGAAACCGGCGAAAAAATCCGGAAGAAAAGAAAAGAAAAAAAAAATTTGAAAAGTCAACGCCGGAGACCGGCGGCAAATTTTTTTTTTTAAAAAAAAATGTTTTTGGTCAAAATTGAATAATTGGTGAAATTTGGAGTCAAATTGAGATTATATTAAGTTAATGATGAAATTTGAGCATATTAAAGTATGCTAAAAAAAAAAGTCAAAATTGAATTTTTGTGGTCAAAATTGAATTTTTGTGGACAGAATTTATTAAATTGGGGTTACAATTAGGAATTGGGTATAAATGGTTGAGGGTAAAATTGGGATATACATGAATGTTTCCTTTATTTATAATAAGTATTAAATGGATGAACTTATTGGTAAAAGACATATAACCCTTAAACCTAGAATAATAAAAATGCTTGATTGGAGACTTATGCATAAAAACCCCTAACCTATAAGTCTAACAACTAACAAACTAATTAAAATTGTGTTTAGAATGGTCCAACACCCTTATATTTAGTTTTATCTCGATTTGCAAATTATTGATTTCTCCAACCAATGGAATATTATATTTTGCTCTTTCGTTAACTTTAGAATCACACTAAATAAAAAAAATCATATTTTGTTCCCTGCAAAATACTCCAATTTCAAACTTACATGCAAAATTTGTATATAACATATTTTTTTTAAAACTCGCTCAATATAAAATAAATTACTGACATTCTCTTGCGGACATAAATTGAAAGGCCATCCCGAATATTTCTTTTTTCCATCCAAGAAGTTTGAACGCAAAACAACAAGGTTGAGTGATGGTTTTGTGGTATTTAGGGTGTGGATGGTAGTACGTAATAGATCAATCTAGGTAAATAGCAAACGTGAAAATTGGACAAGAACCCACGAAACACAACATTAATTAAATCCTTCTTGAAATAGAAAGAAAAAAATAACGGGAGAGAGAATAAACAAACTTTTTTTTAATCGATAGAGAGAAGGGAGAGACTTTGTGTAAAGAGATTGGGAAATTGTGTTTTAAGAAAAGATTACCCCGCCAAAATTAAGAAGGGATATACTTTTACATAAAAAATAGGGGCTATTAGTGAGAACCCACTTTAGCATTATTTTATTGAGGATGGGTCCAACTCTTTTTTCTTTATTAGTGAGAGACCCATTTTTTTTTAATTATTTCTTATTTAAATAATAATATTTAAAAAAAATTATTTTTTTAACATTTTATTATATTTTTAAAAAATATATTTTTACAATATTTTTTTGTCTTCAGTTAAAAGAACTATATTTCAATTAAACAATTATTATTAAAAATAACTATTATTAAAACAATTATGATTAAAACAACTATATATCTCCAACAATTCTCATTTATCAAAATCAACTATTTATTATAAAATCAACTAAAAAGTAATAAAAACAATTATATTGCTGTACGAAAACAACTATATTGTTGTACGAAAACATCTATATATCTGTAAATAGCACCAACACAATTTCAACAAAACCAAACATCCATTATACTATTGATTGAACACAAAATTAGCCTTCAATATAAGAATTCAAACAAAAACTCCAAGTAAGAAAATTGAGATTCGAGAATTGGGTTCCACAAAAAAATCAGAGAAGAAGAAGAAGAACAACAACAATGAAACAATGTTGTGGTCGGTCTCTATTGAAACCTCATACGCAATATCAACCCTAGTGCTGCTGCATAGTCTCGTCATTCTCCCTAGCGAAAACCCTAATATTGTCCTTGACGAGAGAATTCCAGGGGTGAAGACAGCCTTCTTTTCGCGGCGGTGGAGGGACAAACGCTGTTGGGAGAAGAGAGTTGACAGGGCGAAATAAAGATTAAGAGAATGAGTGGTACAAGGGCAGTGGTATTGAGCGCATCGACGACGGCGATGAGATGTCAGAGGGTTGGAGGCGGCGGTTTTTAGAGAGAAAAGAGAGAGAGAAATAAGAGAAAGAGAAACCTGAAATAAGTTTGGTTATTTTAGGTATAACATAGAAGGACAAATTAGGTATATTAGTCATGTCAAATACAATATTAATTAAAAAAAAAATATTTAATATAAGGTAGGGAGTCTCACTAATAATGAAAAGGAGGTTATATCCACTTTAGTTAATTAGGGATTTTTCACTAATTATCCCTAAAATATAATATAGATAATAATGATACATTTTAACGAAATTATATAGTGGTATAAAAAAAATCATTATATCTTTTTAGAATTTATAAGTCAAACTATAAAGATTGTATCTTGATCCGTTAAAATCGAAATTCAATACAATAAAATCAAAAGGTTCAATAAAATTCAATTCTGATAACACAACCATTAATTGTCATATTCAATATTACTATTATTTAAAATAACCACTATTACAAAATGTATCTATAATAAATATTTGTAAATACAAAGAACTGACTAAATAAAACATGAACAAATGAATGACTACACTGCGACTTATGTTATTATAATCGGTGGCGTGTGAAAAATCCGAGTAAAATATAAATATCTTCTTAGGACTATATAAAATAGATTAATATCTTCTTAATTTAATTTTATCATAACAAAATATAATAAATTTAAATTTTCTTAAATTGTAAAACTCGAAAAATCGTAAAAATCAAATCGTAAATCGTAAGATTTAATCAATTTTTTGATGTTTAAGATTTGTTTTAAAATTAGAATAGAATCGTAAGATGTGAATGGTAAATTGTAAGATTTTAATAACCACAAACTAAATAATTAATTGATCAATAGGGAATTAGTGCAATCTAATCTAATAAAATCTAGGGCTCTTGATAAAACCCCTCAAACCTTTTATTAATAGGGAGAAGTCCAATCCATATTTCACTCTTTAAGATAAAACAATCCTCCTTTCTTCTTTTCTCTAATATTAAAATTGTATTCTCACTATTTAATTCCCACTACTTCCATCCCCATTTATTTTTCTTTTTTAAAAAAAAATCGTTTTCTAATTTTTTATTTTTAGTTTATTTTTATTATTTTTGTAATAATTATTTTTTAAGTATTTTTTACCTCTTTTTCCCTTTGTCAGGTGTATTGATCGAGTTTGAACAGGTGTATTGATCGAGTATGAACTAAAACATGGTCGATTAAGAAACGGACAAATAAAAGTAACAAAACTAAACTAAAGAAATAAAAATCAACTATTGCTTACAAAATAAAAAATATACAAAAAATGTTATTTTATACAAATTGGAATCATTACAAAAAAAATCCAAAAAGAAATAAAAAACATAGTCGATCAACCTCCACGAATTTCCTCTGCCCCCGCCGTTATCCGCTTAATTCACTCAGAAGACCCTAGATATGTTCCCCATCGTCACCACACTGTCACCACACCACACCATCTACGCCCCCAAAATCTATCACAACCACCTGCCATATACAAACACACCACCATAAACACAAATATACAAACCTACCACCGCTGCAAATAACTTCACGAATACAACTACCGCCACCAACATGTTCCTCGAAACACTCAACGTCGACGGGGATTGGTAGCGGGATGGAGAAGGTGACATATAAATAGACGGGATTGAGAGCAGCGAATTCACAGGGGAAGAGGCTCGTTATTCTGGCGGCGCCTCGTCGGTACTTTATTTCCAGATCGATGGCTATGGATTTGGGTGGAAAAGAAAGGAGATAAAAAAAAAAAAACAGAGAAGACGGTAAATGAGAGAGATAGGAACAATGAAATTAGGGCTGTGAAGGATAATATTGAAATTTAATGTATAAAAATTAGCTAGAGTATAACCTACGGGGATTTCTGAAATTATTTATTCGAGGAGGGTCTACCTTATATGATTTTTCCGAATGAAGGCGGTCTTACTAATTTTCCTTCAAATCTAGGGTAAATTGCAACCAACACCTGATGTATGGTCAAATTACAAAAAAATCCGTCATGTTTGGGTAGTTACAACCACCCACCTCAACTATAAATCTTCTTACATGTTCACCCTAACGGTGTTAAATTTAGTGGAATCTTTTAGACTATATGAAATATTCTCAATTTCGTACCCGTTTTATCCCCATTCTAGCTCCACATTTTGAAGCAAGATGATCATAAGATGTGTTTATTGACTTGTATATATCAAATTGTGATGCATCAGAAACTGCATTTTTAAACAAAACGAGTACAAACAAGAGAACATTCCACGGAATCTAGAAAAGATTATGTTGAATTTGACACCATAAGGGTGGAAGTGTAAGAAGATTCATAGTTGATGAGGTAGTTGCAATTATCCAAATATGACGGGTTTTTTCGTAATTTAACCACACATGAGGGGTGTTTGTAATTTACCCTAAAATCTATCTAATCAAATACAGGTGAATAAACAATGTGGATAGTAAAAACAAATAATTCTATCCTACACAGTAAATTGATTGATGGGCTTGGTATTTAATTGAACCATGCTTCAGTCGGTTTCTTATTTTGGGACCGAATGGGCCAACAAAAAATTGGGCCATTTGGAAGGTTTTGACTCGGAGTCTCTCTCTCTTTCCACATATTATTCCATTCACAACTGGAGAGAGAGAGAGAGAGTGAGAGAGAAGAAATGGGGAGATCGACGACGACGACAAAGGATGCTCAAGCTCTTATTCATTCTCTCCGCACCGCCTACGCCGCTACCCCCACTAATCTCAAGGTCGTAACTCTACTACTTACTGATTTATTTATTTATTTATTTCCACATATATTAAGAAATCTGATTTTGGTTTGGGGTTTGGGGTTTGCAGATCATCGATCTCTACATTGTCTTTGCAGTCGTTACAGCTATAATTCAGGTATTATTGCTTGAAAAATAACACACTATTTTAGTTTTATTTCTTGATTGACTGACTAATTGGGATTTGAGTTGATTGATTTATATTTCGAGTGATAGCGTCTTCATTTTAGAATAATTTAGCGGTTTTTGTTTTTTGTTTTTTCTAAATCAATGATGATAATCAACTAACTGAAGGAATATTTTTGAGTTTTATTTGTGGATTGGGAACTGAAGGAACCCATTCCTCAGTTGTTTTCGAAGATCAGATTATGGCATTGTTGGGACATGATTCACATTTATCTGCTAGTGTTCATTTGAGATCATTTTCTCAATGAATGATTTCTCGAACTTTCCGTTTGGTTGCATGACCTGGGAATTTTATAGATCATGTCGTTACTTTTGTGATGTATTTGGTTTTAGATCGATTATAAAATACAACTCTTCATTGAAGCACTTTAACCAGATCAGTCACCATAAAATGTACTTAAATATTAAGAGCACACAAGTTGCCTTAGCAGGGATCTCTTTGTTTGTTTGCTTGGTTAAATATTAATGTATTTTTGAAATCAAATATCAGTTTCTTTGATATAACTTGAATATTAAAAGGTAACCAACTGGTTATCAGTAATGTGATGCTTCTGATAAATTATTTTATGTTTGTTTAGCTAATGTGTTTATTTGATATCATGTTTCTAACATGATATTGATGTTATCATCTGAGTGGATATTATTTTGGCATTTTAACGTGTATAAGATGAAAACAAATAGCTCTCCATTGACTCAAAATTAAATCTTGTCAATATATTTAGTCAATGTGAACTGTTCTGTTATCGTATAATCACGCAAATTGTAGATCTATGCTGCATCGGATTCTTTCACAAACATATATTCTCGTTAAATTAGCTTTTGTAACATATGTCTGTCTGGTTTGTTTGTGGAATGAATAGTGAAACTGAAATGTTGTTTCATTTCTGTGGTAATAAGTAGGTAGGTTACATGGCTATTGTTGGGTCCTTCCCCTTCAACTCCTTTCTTTCAGGTGTACTTTCATCTGTGGGGACTGCTGTTCTTGCAGGTATATATATTATTAATTTTTTCCTTCTTCTCCTGCAATATTTTATTTATGTTATATCCGTAGAAACTCATTTATATTTTATTGTATTGGTTGGTGACAGTTTGTCTTCGAATTCAAGTAAACAAAGAAAACAAGGAATTTAAGGTAATATTTCTCATTAACTTTATATGTCCGATTGAACCAATATATTGTTCATTTTATGTCAGCGGAGATGTAGATAATTGAAAATTGCAAGTGTTGATAAGTAGTAGGCTATGTCTCATTTACCTCGTCTTCTTTCAAGTTGATATTTTGTGTTTATGTTAATACCGAGCATTAAACTAAACAAGTTGGATCAGAAAATAGTTGATTCGGCAAAGAGGACCTGGAAATGAACGTGGGTTTTTATTTATCTTCCTTATAGCAATATTTGTAATAGCCTGAATAAGGTCAGATTATTGCAGCATGCTGATTGATATAAAATAAAACAAGAAAGAGTGGGAAACAAGTAGTATTTTTTTTTGATAATTAGGGAAACAAGTAGTATAAAGTTATTGAATCTGTTCGAGTTGATACTTATTATTATCATCTATATATGTTTTCTGAATTTGCAGGATATAGGTCAAGAACGTGCTTTCGCAGATTTTGTTCTTTGCAATTTGGTACTCCATTTGGTTATCATGAACTTCCTAGGATAAGCCACCATTTGGTACTTGAATAGAGACGCAACGTTAATCAGATTGGGTTTTAGTAATTAAACCGAAAGGGTATTTTGTACAACAACTTAAGTGTAGTGGATTAGATTGGGTGTTATCCCTTCCTATTCAGTCGTCGAAAATATGTCAATTAGATTCATGTTATCCAGACTCCAAATTTTCAATCTTTTCGGTAGTGGCATTGTAATCAATTCTTAAAAGTGTATGAATTCAAATGTTGAACAGTTCCTACAATAGAGTATTAATATCACCCCTTCCTATTCTTTTGGGTAAATTACAACTACCCTTGAGGTATGGTGAAATTACGAAAAAATCTCTCTTATTTGGATAATTACATCTACTCCTCAACTAAAAATCTTCTTACACTTCCACCCTTATGGTGTCAAATTAAACATAATCATCTACATTCCGTGGAATGTGTTCTGGTTTGTACTCATTTTGTGTAAAAATATAGTTTCTGATGCACCACAATTTGATATATACAAGCCAAAAAACACATCTAATGTCATCTTGCTTCAAAATGTGGAGCTCGAATGGGATAAAATGAGTACAAAAGTGATAATGTTCCATATAATCAAGAAGATTCTACTAAATTTGAAACCGTAAGGATGGACATGTAAAAAAAATATAATTTAGGGGTTACTGTAATTACCTAAACAAGAGGGGGTTTACGTAATTTTATCATACCTCAGGGTGGTTGTAATTCTTTTTGTTCTTGTGTCAGTTATGATGAACCATAAATAGGTTCAACTTGCCTCTAGTGACTCAAACCACGAACCTACTAATTGGTGAGTCTTAGTAATATTTATAAACCAGTCCTTCAACAATTAGAATAGACATAGGAGAGCTTGTACCAAAAGCGAAATCCCTCGCCCTCAGAGCCCTCATCCCTTGGTCCGACAAGTATTTGATAGAGGAATGGAAATCATGGTAACTCAACGGCCCGTTAGAGTAGCGGACCCGGACTTAGTGTCCACATGGAACCAAGCCTCATTGGAGTTGAAATTCCCACACTGCGGCTGCCAGGATTCGATCCTAGGACCTTGTACTAACTTACCACCCCAGAACCAGTTGAGCTACACCCATGCGGGCTAGACACATGAGAGCTAAACGTATTGGAAATGTGTTCAAATACTTGTATCCGCTCATAGTCATATAACATCAGACAAATGATTAAGGGATAGCATTGGAACCGGATCATCCGGTTTTATCATAAAAACATATTCCAGTGAGTGAATGCCACGTGGATGAAAATATTAATTATTCTCCTTTTTTTTAGCCCATTTTTTCACATTAAAAGCTCTTAATCGTAGTTAGTAGAGACAGGGTTAAGGTGGTGTTCGCAAAAGCTTATTTAAACGCAGAAGTTACCGATTGTGAGTTAAGTTGGTTTTAAGTGCTTATTTCTAAACGTTGGGGGTGTTTGCAAATATTTTAGAAAATAAATTTAAATAGAAAAAGCAGGATTAGGGATACTTTTTAAAAAATAGCTTAAAGTAGTATTTCAGCAAAAAGCAAAAGCAAAAGTTGATTTTGCAAACACCTAAAAACAGATTATGAGAAGAAAAAAAAGCTCATAATCACTTTCAAAAAGCTTTTGCAAACACCACATAACTCTCTTCAACTCTTTTACTCATTAATTTTTTAAAATCTAATGTAATATACTTCTAGATATTATTTATAAATACTCAAAACATATATAAACAGATATTTAAACATATTATATCTCCATCATGTACATTTCATAATAACATAATAAAAGATTAAAAATAATAAGATCATAATACAATAAAAATCCTTATAAAATATAAATAAAAAAACATTTTTTTTAATTTAAATTTATTCTAGAACATTCCAAGCATATACGATTAGGATCTTTAACAATAATAGTTAACATAAACAAAATAAAGCATAAACTCACATTTTTATTAAAATCCCAACTTTTATTTGGATTATAAAAATGAAACTTAATAATAATAAAAAAATACTGATTTTTGCCATCAATATTTGACCTGCCTTTTGGGTTTAACGTCTCGACCCCTTCTTAAATTCTTCTCCCCTAAAAAGGTTGTTCTATTCAATGTTACATGTTTTGTTCTTATGACAATTTCTATTAAAATAATAAATAGTATTAAATTCTTTCTAGTCTAAAATAATCTCTGCTTTTTTTATTGAACTACTATATTAAATTTTACAAATAATATTATATTCTGTAGTAATATAGTGTACTATAGTTACAAAATATAAAACTAATCTTAAAAAAAGGACTTGAAACAAATTTCTGCTAACTATAATCAAGTAATGTTAAAAAGATGGACTCCACAAAACAAGAGAATAATTAATATTTTTTATCCACGTGGCATTTACTGAGTTTAATCCGTTTTTGTGCTGAAACCGGATGGTCCGATTCCAATTTAATCCCAATGATTAAGGGATAGCATTGGGACCGGACCATCCGATTTTATCATAAAAACGGATTCCACTGTGTGAATGCCACGTGGATAAAAATATTAACTATTCTCCTTTTTTTGAGGAGCCCATTTTTTTCAAATAAAAAGCTCTTAATTGTAGTTAGCAGAGATCGGTTAACTCTCTTCAACTCTTTTACTCGTAAATTTTTTAAAATTTAATATAATATACTTTTAGATATTATTTATAAATACTCAAAACATATATAAAAAGATATTTAAACATAGTTATATCTCCATCATGTATATATCGTAATAACAAAATAAAAGTTTAATAATAATATGATCATAATGCAATAAAAATCCTTATAAAATATAAATAAAAATGCAATTTTTTTGAATTTAAGTTTATTCTTGAACATTCCAAGCATATATTATTAGGTTCTTTAACAATAATAGTTAACATAAACAAAATAAAGCATAAACTCATAATTTTATTAAAATCCCAAGTCTTATTTGAATTATAAAAAATAAAATTAATAATAATAAAAAAATATTAATTTTTGCCACCAATGTTTAACCCGCCTTTAGGTTTCACCGCCTTAGACCACTTTTTTTTTTTCTCCCCTACAAAAATTGTTCTACTCACTGTTACATGTTTGTTCTTATGACAATTTCTATTAAAATAAAAACAGTATTAAATTCTTTCTTGTGTAAAATAATCCATTTTTTTAGTGAACTACTATATTAAAATTAACAAATAATATTATATTCTGTAATAATATATAGTGTATAATAATTACAACATATAAAACTAATTCTAAAAAGAGCACATGAAACAAATTTCTGCTAACTATAATTAAGGGCTTTTAATGTTAAAAAGATGGGCTCCACAAAACAAGAGAATTAATAATATTTTTGCGGAATGAATTTTTGCATTCCAATTTTTCTGGAACAGAAATTGAAACCTATTTTATTTACTTATGAAAAAAATTAAAAATTTTCTGAAAAACCATCATTCCGTCCGATTTCCACCCCTAGACTCAATTAACCATACTTTATTTCATGTTATACTCGTTTATCCAAATTAATCTTATACCCAAATTCTCATTACAAACAATTTTCTTTTTCCATTTCCCCCATTTTTATTTTATGGGATTATTAGCTTGATGTCCCTAACAAATATTTCGTATCGGTCATGTCCAGGATTTTTTGATTTTCTTAAAATTATTCAACTGTGTAAACATAATCAATGATGAGTTGAAGAAAAAATTTACTTTTCAGGCACCGAACAACTTATACAGGCAGCTTAGATCACGAGAACTTAGTCTGAGGACTTAACAATAAGTGGGCATATACACTCAAGAGTACATAGAGAGCTTCAACGGGGGAGTTTGGATTAAAAACTTAACAATATATAAACATGCATTCAACAACACATAGATAACTTAGACAGGGAGCTTAGACATAGGACTTTAACAATACATGAATAGATGCATTCAACAGCTTAGACAGAGGTGTGAGAGAGGATTAAACAATACATTAATATACACAACACACAAAAAGCTTAGAGTGATAATTTAAATCTACATGAATAGATGCAGTTCACAATATATAGATAGTTTATACATAGAACTTAGATGAGTATTATCGCTGATGGTGCAAGATGTCCACCCTCAAGATATTCCTTCGAACTCAACTCACTCAACAGTCAGAGAGCTCACTTAACGCCGGTTTTAGGGCATGTGAGGATAAACGAATGAACGAAAAATAATGAACGAAAAATAATGAAGAGAGATTTCAGAAGAAAGTGTATTATTGATAATCAACCGTAAATTATATAAGATATTCTTGAATGGATGTTTCCTATTTTCACATCTCTATATTTGTTCAAGATTTTCACTGATTACACAATTATTGCGTGTAATTTATATGTTATCTTATCTATTTATAGAGAATATCTTGAAATCTTTCTTCCAACGTCTCTTAATCAACTCATCACCTACCACTTCTCCCTCCTTCTCTCATGCGCACTAAAAGCATATACAACGATCTTTATTCTGCTGGTGAGATCCATATTGTCGGGATCCAACTACGCGAGCTGCTAGCCCACTTTGGTCTCGATTCATTGGACCCTTGGCTCAATGGGCTCGATCATGGGGGTTCGGCCTTCAATTGCTACATGAATAGATGCATTCCACAAACATAGAGAGGTTACACATAAAGTTTAGACCAATGCCTTGGCTTTGTATTAATAGATGCATTTACCTAGAGTAAATGATAATACATAGCTTAGAATGAAAGTTAAAAAATAGCATTAAAAAATACATGAAAACACACATCATGATGTGATCCCAATCACATCAAGAAATTAGAGATATCAAAGGTTTTCGGGCTGTTATATACATTGTAGGGTAAAACATAAGAAGCATGAAGTGGACTAATTCAAGCATTGAGGCCCAACTTGAGTCCAAATCCAGCACAAGGTTATCCACATCCCAAATGAGATCAAGTCAAATTTAAGAGACATCAATTACAAAGATATCAATCCTTATATGCTCTAATTGATGCAATCAGATTATTGAAGAGGTTTGGTATCAATTAAGGTTGATTTGATTATCTAATTTATTGCTGATTAGATTGATTGATTAGCATTTCCATTTTAGTATTTTATTTTTATAGATTAGAGAAGATTGTACCCTATATAAAGGGATCAGCTTGTATGAATAAACACAACAATGTATTGAAATCTTTTTGATTAAGAGTGTGTCTCCTCGGTTCTTCGAGAACCATTATTTTTAAATGAACTTATCGGAGTTGATCTCCGTGGCGTTCGCCCCAGACTTATCAATCAATCTTCCGTAATTGATTGTGGCGTCTTCGCATACCAATGT